CTCAAAAAAAAAAAAAAAAAAAAAAAAACTTCATGAGGAAGAAAAGAGGGAAAGCAGAGCCCTGGGGAGAAGCCAGATTATGGCGTTACTAGTTCTGGTTTCATTCTCAGGAAATCAGAAAGCCTTTGAAGGGCTTTAAGAAGGCAAGGGACACAGTCTGACTTGGGTTTTTAAAACTCTCTGTGGTTGAGACATGGAGAATAAACCTTAGTGGGTCAAGGATGGAAGCAGGGAAAGCACTTGGTTAGGAAGCCACTGCTGGGAAGGTACTTGGAGGAGATGGTACTTGGACTAAAGGGTTGGTTACAGGGGTGACAAGGAGGAGACCAGTTCCTGATGTTGTGGAGGTAGACCCAGCAGGAGCTGGGGAAGGAGTAAAGGGGTGAGGGAAGGGCACATTACTCCCACGTTTAAGGTTTTGGCAAGTTAAGGGAGAGCCTGGGTGAACCAGGAGTGCTGTCTCTGCCAGCTGAGACTGGGGCTACTTGGAATATGTACAAGTGGGAGACGTCCAGGAGATACTGGGATGTGTAAGGAGTTAAACCTCTACGGAAAAAGGTTCTGTTCCCCTCAGATCTTGCCTGAGCCACTTCCTGGCTCATGTTGTATCATCTTGGTTTCCTTGTCTTTAAAATAGGAATCACCATCTGCTAAATACACTTCCATGCTGTTTGGAGAATTTAAAAAAAAAATAGTGGTTATGAAAACTTCTGTCACTTAGGTGTTTGCTAACCAGCTAGAAGGCAGTGGGTCCTAGACAGCCAGGCTGGAAGAGCAGCACACACTCCTCTGCCAGTTGGCTGCCAGGTGCAGAGACCACACAGGGTCCCCTGTACCCAGTGGGGCACAGCCACTCTAATCAGGGGAATAGAGTACAGAGGACCCATCAGCATGGCTGTGGAGGTGGGCAATGGGGAGGCGCCACCACAGAAATGACTCTGGACCATGAAGGATGAAGAAAGAAGAATGGAGCCCCTGCCAAGGCCCTGAGGGTAGAAGAACCTGTAAACTAGGGGAGTCCCCCAAGTTGGGGAGGGGAAGGCTGAGGAGGATCCCCTTTACTGCCTTTTCAGTCTCCCAAACCATTGGGAGGTTTGGGACAGATGCCCCTTCCCTATCTGGGAGCTGTAGAAACAGGGGGTGCCACAGATCCTCTGGCGAAGCGAGGATGGGGTCTTTTGGTGGCCCTTCAGCCACCTATCAGAGTTCTTTGGGCAGGTGCTAGTCCAGAGGCAGGGAGCAATGGCTGTGATCACCGGAGCTTGACTGCAAGCCCAGGGAGAAAGGAAGCACTAGCGGCTCAGGGAAAGCACAGCATCCTGGCTAGCCCTCTTCTGGGATCCTCCTAATCTCAGAAGGAAGGAATAGGGAACTCCAAGCCTCCTGGGCTTGAACCTTGGACTGTGGTCTATGACTTTGGGGGGATTCTCTTTTAAGGAGGAGGGAACTCCAAGGCCCTAGGCCTGCACCCCTTCCTAGGGAGGGCTAGCCTAGCTCTTCACTGGGTCCCAGAGCCCCAAGAAACCAGGCTAGAGTTGCACGCTAGCTGGCAGACTGGGCTCTGACCCTTACCCTGCTGGCTGCAGGTAATCTTGGCGCTGTCAAGCCACCTGGGAGCTGTAGAGTCAGAAAAGCAAAAGCTCCGGGCACAGGTGAGGCGCCTGGTACAGGAGAACCAGTGGCTGCGTGAGGAGCTGGCAGGGACACAGCAAAAGCTTCAGCGCAGTGAGCAGGCTGTGGCCCAGCTTGAGGAGGAGAAGCAACACCTGCTGTTCATGAGCCAGATCCGCCAGCTGGACGAAGACACCTCCCCCAACGTGAGCCCCTGCCAGGCTGCTGCTGCCTGGTCGCTGTGCCTCATGGGCGAGGTGCCCTGGGAGCAGGGAGGGGGGCAGCAGGAACATCCATCCCAGGCCACTGATATCCTAGCTACCACATGCCTCCTTTCCTCATGTTCTTGCTGTCTTCCTTGCCAGGAGGAGAAGGGAGACATTCCCAAAGATTCCCTGGACGACCTGTTCCCCAATGAGGATGAGCAGAACCCAGGTGCAGATGGGAAGAAGGGTTGTGTCAACTCTTGGTCCTTGGGACCACTGGGCTACTGAGTGGCTACTGTGTTCCCTCCTACCTGATTTTTTTTTCTTTTGAGATAGAGTCTCATTATGTTGCCCTCAGTAGAGTGCTGTGGCATCATGGCAACCTCAAACTCTTGGCCTTAAGTGATTCTCTTGCCTCAGCCTCCCAAGTAGCTAGGACTACAAGGCCCTTCATACCCATTTCTTTTTTTTTTTTTTTTT